CGCCAAAATTTTTCTCGGGTAAGTTGATAACTCGCGAACCAGAAAAGCTAGAAAGCTGAAATTTTAGAGGATGTTCCCGTCCACATTAGTCGCAGCGAGCTCAAACCCAGTCCTTGGTCGTGCGTGGTACCTACGCACGGATTCACCAAAGTTTTCCTCGGGTAAGTTCATAACTCGTGAACCTGAAAAGCTAAAAGACTATAGTTTTAAGAGGATGTTCCCCGTCCAAGTAAGACCCAATGAGCTCAAGCCCAGACATCGGGTATGCGTGGTACCCGCGTGCGGGCCCGTGAAAGTTTTTTTCCAGTAAGTTGCTAATTTGGGAGCCAGGGAAACTAGAAAGCTGAAATTTTAAGGAGGTGCTTCCTGCCAAGTCTGGCAACCAGTCTTAATTTGTTTAGCTTGAAGCATTTGCCGAAAAAACCGATGTCGGTGGTGACAAAAACTGCGGGGAACTATACAAAAAGCGCATCTTCGCACCGGCAGTCGGTGCGTTGGCCATTTATTTACCATTATATTGCCTTTTAATGCATATTTGTCAAAACGCAGTATTAGATTTTTTTGGGTCGTTAGAGAATTGAAGTCATCTGTTATTTATAGCTATCAAACTATTGTGACAGTACGCGGTACATGCTGAGAAATTGGCCTGTTTTCAGTGAGACACGCTTCTTTGGTTACAACGCGGAGACGAAATATAACGTTGAGGCGCATCGCGATCGCATTTTCGGCAAACATGTCGCCGATTATATGGAACTTTTGAAGGAGCAAGATGAAGATGCGTACAAACGTCACTTTTCTCGTTTCATTGCTGAGGGCGTTGGCCCGGAAGACGTGAGTTCCTTGATAACTGCAAGCAGTTTCAGTCATAAAATAAATAGCGGCGCGCACTAAGGCAGCCGGTGCGGTCATGCGTTTTGTGCAGTTTCGTCCACCGAAGGATTGCTTGTTAATGATTTTCACTGCTCTGGATTTAAATTTGAAGGGTTGCACAGTCCCCCAAAATTTCAAGGGGAACAGTCCCCCAAAATTTCAGCTTCATAGATTCCCCTGTTCCCGAAATAATAGTTTACCTGCCAAAATTTTCGCGGACCCGTATATGCTTCCCGCTGATACAGGAAGGCTAAATTTAAATTTTCTGGGTCGCACGTGAGCAGCGGACATGCGGATAAGATTTTAGCTTTCTAACTTCCGTGGTTCCCGAAATAACAGTTTTTTCCGCCATAACTTTTACGGGCCACTGGTAACATGTAAAATTGAATTTGCAGGGTCACACGTTGGTGGGGAACATTCCCCTAAATTTTTAGCTTCCTAGCTTTTGTGGCCCCCAAGTTGAAAGTTGTGGACAAGTTGCTGCGGACACACACATACAGACAACCCCGTGATAATGTGCTTTTTGTACTGCTGTTACACAGCACAAAACGCATAATAAATTTGATAAACGCTGAACATTGTTCAACGAGCTGTTTCTGTTTATCATAGTTTTGTCTATTGTTTGTTATTTCTCCTAATATAGTTCCTGCTATCGTTCAATAATTCTTCATATTTCTAGATCGTTGAATTGTACAAGAAAGCGCATGAAGCAATACGTGCCAATCCATTACCAGCGCCTAAAGTGGACAAGCTGGTTAGTTTTTGTTATTTTCGAACAAATACTACTCTACGTGCTAGAAATTCAAAATCCTTACTCCGTTAGAGAGGTAGAAACACTTGGAATTAACCCGAGTGGTAATACATCTCGACAGCAAGACATAACAGCTGGCTATTTCGAGAGTTAAAAGCAAGCCGCTGGCAGCCTCGACTTTCTGTTATATCTGTATTATCGAAAGGAATCAACCGAATCAGAGAGGGATCACGTGTCCTTGTCAAATTCATATCAGCATTTGTGGCGTAAATTGGCGCCTTTCCTGTTGTCAGGATGGGAAGAAGTGCAAAGTCGGGGAAAAAAGATTGATTCCGTGTATTTACGCGCAGTAATACAGTAATAATTGAAGTTGTCCGGTTGGGCAGGAGAAGGAACAGGCAGTTAGTTCAGGATTAGACGTGATCGGGAACGGAGTGTGCAGTCGTGAAGGGGCAGCCGCGGAGCAATCGAGATGGTGTGATGAAGGAGGCCGAGGGCAAAGACGATATCATGGAGAGAGCCGATGAGCAGTCGAGTACTGGAACGTGAAGAACAAGGACAAGAATGAAAAATAAAGCAAAATACCGGGCTTTTATAGGGCCCAAGAAACACCTTATCGCCTTTCGGCGATCAGGCGTCAAGAATGC